GATTCCTCAAAGGCTCGGCCTTCACAGTTCATATTTTTAACTAAAAAAAATTTGTTATACTTGCAAATATTGAATAATAGATGCCTAAAAGTTTCGGAATGATTCGTTGTAAAGTTTTTCCAAAGAAAATTCTCCAAAATCTTATATTTTAATTCTCTACAAGGTGTCCGGTAACTAACGGACCAACGATTACAAATGGATTCTTTGGTCAATTTGGGAATTTGGGATTTTTCCTCAGCGAAAATGTCAAAAAAGGTCATCATTTTTTTACAACTTTCCAATATTTGTCATTATGTATCTTTATAACTAAGCCTCAAATTAAAATTTTATTATAGTAAACTCTACCTGAAATTAACTGAAGAATGTAATTATGTTAGACTTTTAACTCCAAAACGTTTAGTTTTCAAAAGACCCATTTTTTTTCAATCGCTTATAACTCGAAAATTATTGACTTCTCAACATTTTTGCTAAGGAAAAATCGTCTCCAAATTGGCCAGAGAATCCGCCCTTAATCATTAATCCGTTAGTTACCGGACACCCTGTATAAAGCAGGCGTCCCTCCGAACTGCAAAAGCTGCGTCGCGATGCTGCCGAGTAGAAATAATTATATGCGCGAAAGATGAGGAAAAGAAGAGGGTAGGAGAGGAAGGAGAGGAGGAAGCTTGGGCAAGAGAGAGCGTGTCTCTACGATCGGGAGTGACGTTTAATTGGGCCGCGTGGTACGTGGACCATGACCAACGAGAAACCGTGCCCATTCTGGTTCGCCCACGTGACAAAGCGACGACGACGATGATGATTCTGGCACGGTATCCGACCGCGACCGAACGTTTGTCGTTGACTTTCGCGACGCCAATGATGGATCGCCGGCAGCGGCGGCACTCGATTCCGTTCAAACAGCAGAAGATTAAATCCAAATATACTCGCTACGCTAATTTGGAGCAATGAGCGATCTAGCGGAGCTCTCCAAGCTTGCGTACGTCCATCTCCGCCGATGGATGGGGATGAGAATGCCGACAAAGGCGATTACCGAGGGGGTGAAATGGTCTAGGGGAGGATTTGAGAGATCATCCGTATCTGTGAAAACTTCATAGAACTTCATACGGCGAAAGAATCTCAGTTACGTAAAATAAAATCAATTTTGTCGTATCGCGAGGTTTTATGTTCGATGAAAAGGGTGCTCGCAAGAGCGTCTGTAAATTCGTAACGGATTCCCACGACTGTCGTTATTTATAGTCGCAGGGATTTTTCGAAAAGGGAGGCATTTATACGGTTATCCGCAAGCGAACGACTTCGCGCGCTCGGCTGTAAAGATCTATATGCGCGCATGAGAAAAATGCAACTTCGCGTTCGCTCCATGTATAAATTCTCACGATAGTTTTTAACACATTTTAATCTCCCGACAGAGTCGCGTGCATTTATATTATTTCACGCGAGATGATGAATCGCGACAGCGTGAAATTTCACCCGAAAGTTACTGAATTGCGCGAGAGTCGATCTCGACTTATCGTTCTTTCACCGTATCCGTTCTTGTCTACGGAAAAGTTGCGAGACACGCGATACAAGATTGCAAAAGAGAGAGAGAGGGAGAAAGAACGGCGCGTCGTTCGTGTCCTGGTACTGATTCTCGAATTGCATTCGTTCGCTTTATTGCCCCGCGGTATACACTGCATAAAATGTCTGCGTCTCGCGCAAATGGCAAAAGAGGATTTACGACTTCCTAGTCGAACCCAGAGAGATGGAGAAAGTAGTGGTAGCAGACGCGGGCGCGCTGTTTCGCACCGTCTTCCGTTTATAGTCAAGCGAGCGGACCTGCCGGCTTGTAATGGCTGTTTCGTCTTAACGACTATAATATCGACGCGCAGCCGCCGGCTCTTTTATCGCTATTTTTTCTCACGGTGTCCGTTTTGTCTATTCCCGTCGAAACGTTACAATCCAAGCGTGTCGATCGTTTCTATTTTGTCGCGCTGAATTTTGTCACGATTGAAAAGATATTGTCTCCGTCCTTGACTGTCGATGTTTCGCATCGAGATCGATTTTCGCTGGCGAATCGACGCGGAGAGATATTTTTATATATATATATATATATATATACAGGCTGTCCGGTAACTAACGGACCAATGATTAAGAGCGGATTCTCTGGCCAATTTGGAGACGATTTTTCCTTAGCAAAAATGTTGAGAAGTCAATAATTTTCGAGTTATAAGCGATTGAAAAAAATGGGTCTTTTGAAAACTAAACGTTTTGGAGTTAAAAGTCTAACATAATTACATTCTTCAGTCAATTTCAGGTAAAGTTTACTATAATAAAATTTTAATTTGAGGTTTAGTTATAAAGATACATAATGACAAATATTGGAAAGTTGTAAAAAATGATGACCTTTTTCGACATTTTCGCTGAGGAAAAATCGTTCGCAAATTGACCAAAGAATCCATTTGTAATCGTTGGTCCGTTAGTTACCGGACACCCTGTATATATATATATATATATATATATATATATATATATATATATATGTATATATATGTATGTATGTATGTATGTATACATACGAGGTGCGCACCGGCTGCATTAATTAGAGCACTTTGATACTGTCAATGTTGATTAGAACGCTCCGAGCTTATGTTTCTCGCACGTGCATACGTTTCGCATTGAGATTTCCGTTCGCCAGTCAGCAAAGTCCGCAGCGTGGAACTTGGGCGAGCTATTCCTATACAAAATTGATAAACGCGGATAATCATGCGGGTTGGAAATTATCCATTCGGCGAGGAATACGTCGAATTATGACGGTCGGTGGCTTTAATGGACGTTCGTCACGGGATATTGCATTTCCGGAACTGAAAATAAACGCGCGAATGCTTTCTCCTTTATGGAAAAAAATACCACAGTTACCATAATATAGCTACATTTTTTGGTATCCCTATATTACATACCTGAAATTTGATTCTCATGCTTTGCCAAATTTTAGATACGGTCACTAATATTTTTAAGCTATAATTTAATAAAGAATTTGCTGTTAAATTATAGTAAAAATATTAGTTATCATTTTTATTTTCAAATTTATATAATTTAGAAATATCTCTAAAAATTTTTCCCGTTCATATTTCTTAATTTCCTAAAGGCAAAAACATACCTCGATCTATCTTTCTTTAAGTTTCTAGTCTGTGGGAAATCAATTTCGCGGCGATTTACGGAGCAGAGAGAGAGTTTGACTCTCTCTTGCTGTTTTTTGCGCCGCCAATTATATTCGAAATGTTTTGTCGTCGAAAATCTATTTCCACGGCGACGACGACGCGCGGATTGCATCTTCCTTCCTTCGTCAGGCATTTTGCGGAGATAATGGATGTCGTTATTTGCGAGCCGGCGGAATCCTGCTCCTTATCATTACCGTATAAACCGGTAACAATGGCGGCGGACAATGGCAGTGCTCGATCGACGACAATGGATTTTGTCGCATTCTCTAATCCACGTCTCTCGCTAATTAGCAAGAATATGACGTTTTCCAACTGCGGGATGGATGATGATGCTTCTGCACGTCGAATCGCGCGCACCACAAGCGTTTGCATTCAATGAAGTCGAAGCTAGAGCGCAACTTTTTTTTCATCATTCGCTCTAAAATTCCTTCGAGTGCCGCTTGAAAATTTCAGAGGTATCTCTCGCTCGGATAATTTCCTCCGCAATTCTATTCAAATATCTCATGGCGATTTTATCTTTTGTATCTCGCTCTGTGACATGAAACAATATATGTACGCGGTGGTCCCTACTAATTCAACTAATCGAGAGTTAACCCTTGCTTCAGGAAATCAGGGAAGCCTCAACGAGATTTCCGCGCGGCAGACATGATCCCCTTCGTTATTAATATATGAAGAGGGTGGAATAGACGGTCGAATAATTCGCCCCGTTATATTCCCCGGGCATTGAGATCTATGGCTTGTCAAGAATTGTTCGGCCGTTTGTCTTACGATTGTCGCGAGTCAGAAATACAACGTGGCAATGTATGTTCCACGAAACTTCCAGAATTTACGCGTTTAACGAGAGCTCAATCCCTTTCTCTCTTTTACCGCCGTGAGTGGTTAAAAACCAGCGAAATGGTACGGAAGAAAGAGTGATATAGGAATGGGAAGAGGAAGAAGACAGTGTAAGGAGAGAGAGAGTAAAGTAGTAGTCCCGGGAATCCATTAACGAGTGCCGTTTCATATCTTTTCCATGCTCCACTCTCTCGTGCACTCGTGTGCTTCTCCTTTCTTTCTCCTTTTCAATCCTCGCCACCCACTCTTAGCCGACTATGCATCCCTCTCTCTGTCTCCTTCTCGTCTTCCTCCTTGAAAGAGCATCCACCGGCACAATAGATCGTTCATTACCGATACCGGAGCCCGAAAAGCGGAAAGATAGTAATGTGAGAAAGAGGGTGTGAGTGAGATATGTGCGTGCAGGGTTGCATTCGCGTGTATGTGTGTTTCGCAAACGCGGTTATGCATACACGGCATAGTATCGCGAAAAAGACGGGCGTAAAAAGAGGTGGCGGTGCTTCGGATCTCCATATCTTATTCGGATCACAATTACGGGCGAAATCGCGTAACCGATGGCTCTAAATGTAAAATCGCTCGCCCGCTTCTTTTAATCGCTTCGCTCGACAATTTAATCATAGCGATCATACGCGCACGCTTCATACATATACATTGAAAAAACATAGAACGTGAAAAGGGGATCATTAGTATTGAATACTGAGCAGTTATAAATGGATGCGCATTAAAATATCGAGCATGAAAGAGGCGAATATAAAGTTCTACTTTTTTTCTTCTAATTATTTTATTTTTTTTTATAAACGCGAAATCTATACTGTTTTTACATTATTATATTACTGTACGCTTTTATTTTCATCAGCCATGGCTAAATGTGACAATTTATTATTATTCTATTCGAAGTCGTAATTCAACGACACTTTAACATGTTTTTAAACTTTGAATTCTTATTTTAAATCAGGCCATCTTTATCTATTTCAGTGACGTGTTAAGGCTGTGAAGAGGATCCGAAAGTGACGAAACTAGCGGGCATTAATCGCGACCATCGATGGCGGCCGCGAGTTTTCCTCCAAACTTCTCCAACGTTGGTGTATTAGAGAATTGGTAAGTTTTATTTCTGTATATCGCTCATTATATATACATAGATATATCAATCGAATTCACTACAAATCGAGTCTGTGAATATTGAAAAAGTTTTTGTCTGGACGCGGTTTCATAAATTAGTAGGTTGTTTTGATATTGTCTACTTATGTCATACAATTTTATAAAGTTAATGCTCTAAAAATATTAAGCTTCGACACATCAATAACTGAGTTTTTTATTATAATAAATTATTAGCGGAATTTTTGCTAAAACAGATTTCTATTTTTGAATCAACTTATTTTTATTTATTTAAATTGCCCTCGATCGTCTCCATGCTTAACATTGGATAAAGAAAGAGTTGCAATAAATGATAAATTGACTCGAAATTTGTCTCGTGTTGTGTAGCGATAAATAGTTATATTATATTATTAATAATATGGTATTTAGAGCCATATCAATTTGTAAACGCGGTCACCGAGGATATAATTAATTCGTATGCATGATAACTCAGTGCTTTAATCGAGCAAATAGAGTAGGCTTATGCTATATGTCTCACTGCATGTCGGTAATGCGTAAACCTGTACTTCCTGTTTCAAGCTGTTTTACGATCGTTGTATACACAGTGCACGATATACACTGTAAAAATATACATTCGTGTCAACGATGAGATGGCGATATTGAGTTTCAACCAGCTTAACGAGATCATTCAATTTGCATCTTCGCGTTACCATGTTGAATATTATCTCAATCTATTGAATATTATCCTAATCAAACACGTCGTAGACGTGTCACATTATCTTTATATGTATATGTAATATGCAAGCATCTATAATATTAAGCGAACCATTTCTCTGACACTTTGCCAAGAATGTTGCGAGAGATCATTAATCATCATCATCATCATCATCATCATCATCATTTTATCTTACATTGAAACTATATTCAACTTTCGACGTTAAATATGTCGGTGGTTGAGAACTCTGCGAATTAAAATTGAACTAAAGTGCGAAATCTCTATTCGAATTTAATCGAGGAATAAAATTCCGCCGCTTAATTTGCGCGCGCGCGTGAGCAATCTCGAACTCGCGAAGAATTTATTTTCATTTCCCATTAATTTCGTTCTTTAATCTTAATTAAAGAATCTACCCGTCGCGTCGCACGTTTTGTACGTTACTCGTCGCAAATCATCCCGCGTATCATCGCGCGCGAGTCTGAGATTCGAGCGTGATATTTGTACGTCGTCAGGCACAATAAAGTGGCTTAGACAATGCGGCATTGTTGTATACACGTTTCCGTGCAAGATATCTTGCACGGAAGGTCAGATGCCGTATTATCGTCCGCCCGTCACGGCCGGAATGGAATGGTTGCACCGGCGGGGAATGAAAAGTAGGTTTCTTCTATTTTCCAGTTTTGATTAAAGTTCCTTTTAGGAAGAGAGCGAGCACACATAGCGATTCTTTGCACACACACATCCGTACCGAGATGAGAATTCGCGTGCCACGCACGTACTTTCGCAGTCTTTTCTCCCATTATATTTCCGCGATTCCTCTAGCCGAAAGGGAAATAGGCAAGTCCGCGGTATTTGCGATTACAAATCTTTCTTGCGCGTCCTTTGTTCCTGACCCGTGAACCTTGCACGCCTAAGATCGAACAGGGGAAATAATAATCAGAAGCCAGGCTCGCTTTGTGTATCAGGAACATCTTTCGCGAACTAGAACCATATGGCGATTCGCCCTCGCGAGAGCGCGTGGATTATTGATAATTCAGAAGTCATCTATACAAGTAGGAGGCATCAATATTACACACAAAATGTCAACGCTTTGGCACATCAATTGAAAGTCTCGAAATAGGATTCGAGAAGAGGGCAGAGAATATCGCGAGTGTTTAATTGTACGGATACACATTATGTGTGGTATAAATATCGCATGAAATATGCATGCGATATTTATAATAGTTATATATGTGCAGCTTCACTTTTCATTCTAGATGAAATGCCATAACGATCATTCGAATATCGATTAGCTGAATTAGCGTGGAGGATTATATATATCATTCACCGCGATTGATTCGCGGTGATTCGAATTCCGCTATATATCGAGTCGGTATCTCTCGTTAAAAGAATTTAATAATAGATTTCGCGTAATACGCCTCGCAGATTTATCTGCCGTTCGGGGATGGGTATAATAACGAAAAAAAAAAAAAGAAAAAATAAGCGAACGTGATGTATTTAAACGCGTTCTATAATTGCTATTTCTACTTTTCCCAACAATGACGACACCCTTATATTTTCGCGACATTATATTCTACGATATTGTAATGTATTTTTAGTCACGTTATGTTTTAAAATGGCGTTATCTGGCTTAAAACATTCTTCAGACCTCAAATAGCAGTCCATTTGCGAACTGCGTTTCTATTTACAACAGCATCCTCCCACGTGGGTTGGTACATTTAGCATTTGAGTGCTTCCTCGTTACGAACGTAGATATAATGACTGGATATTAAATGACGAACGCAAAATATATATACAGAGGCGAGTTTCGAGGGAAGAGGTAACGCTTGCTCGTATTTTCGGACAGTTCATTCAGAGAAAGGTGACAATCGGCGCTCGCCGTTGACAGTCCGCGGGTGCGTTGACGGTTCCTTCGCGACTTCGAGACTGCGTATACGCACGTATTTGCGTATGCATATGTGCACGCGAAATGACGGCAGGTGCGAGGTCGCCCACGCGACGTATATTGGTCGACGAGATAGAGTGGGTGGCGGCCACAATTAGACGATGTTAGCGCGTGCGTACGTCATAAATTGATATTACGCCAACGGCGAGAGACGTACGCGCGTCTCTCGCCGTGTCATGTGGGTGACAAACCGTTCGGATTTTTTCTTTCTCTTTTTTTTTTTTTTGTTACCGGGCGCGTGGAATTAATTTGCGCGACGGCGGGCGGAAATGGAGATTGAAATATCTGCCGTGGCCGAGTTTTCCAGAGAGATCGCGCGCGACGCGACGGAGGCGACTGGAAGCGGTCAGTCGTGTTGCGATGTCAGCCGAACTCGACGTCTCGCATTCGAACTCGGTCGAGGAACTTTTAAACGAGTTTAAATATTTGCTAAATTCGCAGATATATATATATATATATGTATGTATATTGCGCGCTATTTTCCGTTGCATAGTCTTTTTTTTTATTTAAATCTATTACGGCTATCTCGTATCGACAAAATGCACGATATATGTAGATGTTTGTTTCCGTTTCCTTTTTTTATTCGTCTGTTTTTATGCCACTTTTTTTCAGTGCCAATTTCTGCTGCCAATTTTATTCTGACAACTATTATTGACGTAGACACATTAATTTATATAAAGCAAATTGTTGAGATTATTTAGGATATTGATATTTTAGGAGACTTCTTGCGAAGTATTAATATTTAATATTAAAATAATATCTAATAATATCTGTAACATATTAAATGAAATATTATCTAATATTGAATAACGTATGATTTTAATACTTTCGAAAGGAGAACATTTTTCGCATATCTGGAATATTTAATAGATAAAGTCTTTATCTCTCGATCGATTTTTGTTCCATATCGGAGTATAAGATCTTCGTCAGGAATTCTATTAGCGCGATGAGATTAATTCGCGCTCGACTATGATTTGCACATCGCGGTATCATTATCTTGAATTTTATACAAGCCCATTTGTAATCCCTCAAAAGCTCGAAAGCAAATCCGGAACAAGAATTCCCGGTAGCCAAATGGAGCACTCTCCGTGCGTTGACTAGCCAAAGAAATTTATTACCGTGAAAATAAAGCTATGTTTTAATGGAGGTACCACGCCTGATAGCTCAATATGTTCGCAGAGAGAGAGAGAGAGAGAGAGAGAGAGAGAGAGAGAGAGAGAGAGAGAGAGAGAACAACGACAATTTATAACAATTAAAATTTATCGCAAAAATAAGTAGCTAAATATACTTTAATGTATAACCATCCTTTTGTGTTTAACAAATAAATAGGAAGAATCCAAATTTCGATAAAAAATAAGCATGAAATAAGCATGTAATCTCTACGATGTTAATAAATGAGGTATATGTAAAGATACGATATTTCTAATATAATCTTATATCAAGATTGTGGGCAAATTGCGTAAAATCACTTTTATTGAGTAATCCGTGCGCACTGGGACAATCCTCGGGACTATCTTTGTGGCTCAAGATGGAGGGTGAATCCCGCCTCTCTTGTATCGTGCACTCTCGTTCCACCCCGGCGTAGAAACCACAGCGATGGCCCTACATACCGCACGGCAGGGTCGTATAAACGAGTTTCGGTAGAAGTGGCTCGCAACCCACGAGTTTCCGGTATTGCAGGATTGCCGTAGCCGGTAACGCCTTTGCTACGGTACACCGCATGACACCGCATCTGTTCTGCATTATCCCCCGGTGTCTAAAATCACCGATGAACATAATCGATACACTCGATATACGATATCTCGATGTTTTATTCGTGTCGCCTGTCTATAATTGACGTTCCAATCGGGATTTTAATTGCCTCGTTATCATTTAACGAGCTCGTTTCACATATTAAATCAAGTAATCATAAATCATCTTTGCCGTTTATTATATTAGAAATTGCTTGCTTCGAAATTATAGTTGCTTTCCATTTACATCAAAACTCGTATAAAGCTCATTTCTGTCTTTTTTTTTAAGATGGATGTTGAAGACAGACAGAAGTGAGATTTATCTGAGTTTTGATGTACCTAAATGGAAAACAACTTATATCTTTCTTAATCGAATTTATATGATACATATATATATATATATATATATATATATATTATGTATTTATGTTCCAAAAATTGTCCATAATAAATAAGACAGCTGTTACATTAATATATCTCGAATACTCTTAATATTGCAAACGCGCGCACTACATATCGCATTAGAGTGCCGAGTAAAAATAAATTAGAGACTATCGTGTCATGTTCCGTAAGAATATCACGGAAGTTCCAGAATATCCGTTCCGATTTCTTGCGG